AAGTGGGGTGAGAGAGCGGTGAAAAAGAGAGGGATGAGAAAGAGTGAGATCAAGAAAGGAAAGAAAGAGAGTGAAAAGGAGAAAGAAAGAAAGAAAGAAAGAAAGAAAGAAAGAAAGAAAGAAAGACAGAGAGGAGAGAGGGAAAAGGGAGCAGGTAAAAGACATATTGGAAGCAAAAGACGGAGAGGAGAGAGAGATAAAACAAGACAGAGGAGAGCTGGGGAGAGAGAGAGAGGGAGGAGAAAGGGAAAGAGAGAAAATGAGAGATGCAGAGCAAGAAAGAGGGAACTAGAGAAAGAAAGAAAGAAAGAAAGAAAGAAAGAAAGAAGAGAGAGAGAGGAAGAGAGAGCGAGAGAGAGAGAAAAGAAGAAAATGAGAGAGCCTGAGAGAGCGAGAGAGAGTGAGAGGGGAGAGAGAGAGCGAGACATGCTCTAAATACATTTCATTATCATCATTATGATTATATCAGTGATTGTGTGTTTTGGGTAATGCGCTGCAGCACCTCTCCCCAGGGTTCATGCAGCTGAATGATTAAAGCGCGTATGATGAACCATCCGTCACCGCGTCCCTGTAGGACTCGGGCAGGATGAGCTCAAAGCGCTCTCGCTGAGGAGAACTGTGAAAATTAAACAGTAAAATACAGACGTTTCCGAGCAACACCTACCAGCACCACGAGAAAAAACTCACAATGATCTGAAAAAGCTCAGAGAGCCACTGTCACATTATCTACACTGTTAAAAAGAGGTTCTTCAAGGGTTCTTTAGTAAAACCAGTGGTCATTTACAGAACCCTGACACTCATTTGAGTCATCTGAGTGCAATAAATGGTTGAATGTTAAATGTTGTTTATGGCTCTAAAGAACCTTGAACAAATGGCTCTCTGTAGCACCAGTAACGATTTTGTTAAGCTCTTAGCAAAAAGAGTTCTATACGTTACCAAAAAGGGTTCTTTGACTTGTAACGTACCTGGTTCTACATAGATTGTCCTTCAATGGTCCTTTAAAAGGTCCTAAATGGTCTTTAACCATTTAACTGTGCAAAGAAGCAGTCAAACATTCAAATGGTTCTTTGAGCCATCATTGTTCTATATAACCATTGCCTTTACTAAAGAACCTATGGAGAACCCATAAGAGTGTACTACGATAAGCTCCAGAACCTTTTTTAGAACTTTTAGCTAAGTGTATCAGTCTCCATAATGAGTACTCAATGCAAACAATTATTATTCTACCAAAACTGAAAAAAATAATACAGATCAAAACACAGGCATTACACTATTAGAGCGCGTGTTCTTTAAAAACCAATAAAAAAGATCAATCTCATATGCCTAATGAACTATTAGAATTAGTGCACGCAAATCCAAAACATCTCAGCCAATTACCCAGGTACAAATAGGATATGAATACCGAAGGATGTCTCGGCTAAGGTTTGTAACACATAATCCGATAAGCCACGCGGTCCTGTAGGACTAGGCCTGCTCAGATGCAGGAAAAGAATCTAAGAGACAAGAATTGATGAATGTTTAATCCAACAATTCCACACACGTCTAGGAGAGATCATCCTGAGTCAAAACCCACAAACGCTGCACAGCAGGCCTCTGAAATATTCATACCATACATGCTTCATTAAGATTATAATACACTGAGGTCCCCATTTACTTATTTATCTGATTATTGAAACAAATGACAGAAAGGGGGGACATTAAAATATTTGTGCCACCATCACATATTTGTCTCGCAGATTTGTAACAATTTGTTTGATTACAAAAGAAACCTCTGGATTGCTAAATACTTCTGACAACACAATTCTTTTGGTGGAGTACACTGTCCGTGACTGGATTCACAGAGTTTTAATGAAAGCAGGCTGTTCTGTAGCCTGCCGAGAGCAGGAAAACAGGCAGGGGTTTTGAGCAGCTATGAAGCCAACAATGAAGCATCATACTTACAGATAACACTGTATGGAAAGGCTACCTACACAGGGACTTCATAACATATGCATAAGCAATGTATGACATATTTAAAATGCCAAACATAAGTATTTAGGAACAGATAGGTCAGTATTTGCAAAATGGCATACAATGTTTTATGAAGTAAACACTGCATTGACAAAATGGCTCTTAAATTAATGTGACAGACATTTGTTGCATTTATAATACAGTTATGAAGCATCATTCCCAAAAAATGGAATATATAAGGCAGTATAGTTTAGGGCACAATTTATCAGTACTTATCAGTACTATGAAATATTTTGGTGCCCTCAAACTAAAGTGATTATTTTCATAATTATTAAATAATTATTAAAATGTTCTTTGAGTAAAGGCAGAACTCATCTATATATCTATATGAGTTTTTAAGGCCTAAGAGTATGTTTAGTTTAATACATACATACATATATAGACCCAAAACTACTTGGAAAAAAGTCTGGTTCCATTGACTTACATTAAAATTAAAGTATGTTTTTTCCTTCTCCTGTAAAATTATAATTTTGGAGATTCGAGGTTTTGATCCAACAACAGTGATATACTGCTTGACTACTTCACTAAGTACACATACCTTGTATCTACACTCACTAACCATATAGTTTGTAACATATAGGTTGTGTTAGTCACCCTGTAGTCCTTCAGCAGTGGACACTGGATGCTGCGCACATGATGCTGTCCTATTTTTGGTTGGTGGACTATTCTCAGTCCAGAAGTGACACTGAGGTGTTTAAAACTCCAGCAGCACTGCTGTGTCTGATCCACTCGTACCTATGTACCACATATATGCCACTATATATACATACATATGCGTACCTGCCTCTTACAGGGGTGCCACAGTAAACTCTACAGTGAGATTTGAAGTGGTACTTGATTGAAATGTGTGTGTGTGTATTTGTGAGTTTACTGTGGCTATTACTAACAACTAAGAATAATTAAATTTATCATTTTGGTTGGAGTGCCCCTTTGAAGTATAAAAATACTTTATCCTGCATCATTCTGCAAATTCTGACATAAGCTATTCATAAATACTCAAGCATTGCTTTTTAAATATGTTATTCATGTCTTGAATGTCACGTTATGAAGCTCCTATGTAGGCAGCCTTGAAATAAACTGTCATCAATAATCTTTAATCATGCAGTTCTTTACACTGTCACAGGTGCACTAATGTCAAATCCCTCTGCTAGCACTCCTGATAGGCATCATATGGTCACAACAATTAATGATCTCTCTCCTGTCTCTTCCTGACCTAAGATAAATGGTGTCACTGGTTCAATAAATTAAGCCTATGGTGTCCACAGATGACAAAGATTAGTCTGTATTTTACGCTCTTTCGGAGATCAACGGCTCATTCTAAAAATAAACAATCATTTTTCATCAGTGCTTTTTCAGATAACATGATGAACATCCAGCGTTCACAAACATTTGAATAGCCTGCTGAAACAACACATTCTACCAGAGAATTAGAAGCCAATTACAAGAATTTTAACTTTGTCCTAGATTTCTCAAACAAATTGAAGTGAAACATCCAGCTCATTGGCAAGTGAGTAAAACAATAATTGGCAGTAAGCCTCATCCTACATGGAAAACAACTGCAACATTATTCAAAAAATGTGACAGATTCCTTTCCATGTCTGTTTCCCGGATGTTGAATTTTGACAAATATCACTTATATTTTGTCGCTTTTTTATTTCTACATAATGTTCCATAAACACGCATCATCCATGTGTGGTTAAGGATGCTATGGCCTACTAAATGATTTTAAAACACGATGTAACACTAACATGTATCTCCTTTGGACACATCAAATAAAACAGGGTTTGTTTCTCTCAAAAATTGTAGTTTTGAGATGCATAGTTTCTGCAGCACATTGATGGTACTGAATATATTTAACTGATTTGTTTTTATATTTGTCATATTTAATACCTGGTAAATTTCTTACATTTTTTCATTCCCTGATCTGTTTATCTATAGAAACACATGCCTTCCTCCTTTTCTTTGCCACTGGAGTAACAGCTTGAATATATTAAAGAGGACCTCCACTGATTTTTCAAAATTTCTACATAATTAAATGGCTGAGATGTAAACAAAGCCATTCGGAATAGCTTGATGTGAAATGCTCTGTTCTAGAGAAACTTACAGAGACAGAATTGTTCACAGTGGTGGTGATAGGAACCAGACGTCCACCTCTAAAAGCTCCCTCACAGAAAGTTTTTACATAAATTAGTTATGAATATGCTGCCTGGTGTATGACACATTGTTTTATGGTAGTTTTGTGATAATGTTTTGGCTAAAAATGTATTTGAACCCATTTATTTGAATCCATACATGCCAGGAGGGTACATGGTGGGCACTGTAGGGCAGAATAGTCCCCTAAGAAAACTTTTTTCAGATTTATGACTATTTTACCATAATAAAGAGGCCAGAAGCCACGTGTTGGTTCACTGGTAGTTTTGGAGAGTAAATAAAATGGTAGAAATCACGACCCCTGGTTCCTATCACCACCAGTGTAAAGAAGCTGATAAGTTCTGAGTTGATAAGTTTCTTAGCAATGAACCGTTTCACGTCAAACCGTTTAACGACAACTCAGGCACTGAATTATTCAAACTTTTGGAAAAATTGGTGGAATTCCCCTTTAAGGTCTCACACATTTAATATTTGTAATATTTATTATTCTTTTTTTCAGTAGGCTAACATATTTCATATCTTACACGCTTTTCCTTTTTTTTAAGAAATTACCCTACTCTAAACTATTTTTGGCTTTTCTTTTGTTTTTGAAGAGTAAGTCTGGCTTATTTTTTGGACTGGAGAAGTAACTGTAAATCTTTTAACTGGACTGATACATTTAATATATTGCTGTATTTATTCTTTTCTGTACACGCGGAATTTCCTGAGGCCTTCTTGTGTATGTTTTTAAGATGGAGGATTTATCGTAAATCTGGCAACCCAGTCAGAGCACGGCCGCGCGCTCTCTAAGCCCCTCCTCCTCCGCTGCCGCCACTTCCTGAAGCCGCGGGTTTGTTTTCCTGTGTGGAGAGTGAAGATGGCCTCGGCAGAACCGACCCGCGGAGGCGAACCGGGCGTGGGGGGCGATTTCTGGGCTCAGCTCGGCCCGGTGGTCAGGAGGGACCCGGCGCTGAAGCTGCTGAGCCCCGTGAGCGGCCTGGAGCCGCTGACCTGGTCGGATGACCACCGGCTTGCAGCGTCCACCAGCAGCAGCGTGTCGCTCATGGAGCTGGTGCCGGACCTGCAGAGCGCCGGGCCGGACTTGGTGCTGCACCGAACCCACATCCCCCTTCACCAGTCCGCCTACGAGCTCCAGGTAACTCCGCGGCAGCCACTATCCGCTCTTCCTCCACAATAATATTTAAAGGGGAACTCCACCGATTTTCCAGAATTTTTGCATGATTCTGTCGTTGCGATGTAAACAAAGAAAAAAAGTCATTCTGGGTGTTTTGGTGTGAAATTGTTCGCTGTAGAGAAACTTACAGACTCAGATTTCTTTACAGTGGTGGTGATAGGAACCAGGGATGGCCATGTTTACAACACCCATTTTATTTACTCTCCAAATCCAGTATTGAACCTACACATGTCTTATGAGCTTTTATACAATGTTATTACATGACTATTTTGTTTCACAACACCCTACGTGCATGTGTTCCTCTACCACAAATGGATTAAAATAAATGGATTAACAAGCCGTTTTAGGCCAAACAAAAATGATAAAACTATCATAAAGCAGTGCCTCGGGCATCAGGCAGCACATTCATAACCATCTGATGTAATAACTTTCTATGAGGAAGCTTTTAGAGATGGATGTCTGGATCCTATCACTGTCACTGTGAACAATTCTGACTCTTAAGTTTGCCTAGACAGGAGCATTTCACACCAAACCATGCCGAATGATTTCGTTTACATCTTAACCATTAATTGCTGGCAGGCCCACCCATGAACTTCAATGTGAGCTGTTTTTATACTGCTCCTGCTGAGTAACAACATCAGTGTCTTAAATGTTGTTGTTTATCATGTAATGAATCTGTTTCTCTCCTGTTATCTGTATCCTGCCATGACCCAGAACTAATCACCCAACATCAGTCCCTGGCCTCACTAATGGTCTCACAGATGAATGCCATCATCTGATACCTTACAGAAATGTTCCAACATCTAGTGTAAAGCCTTCCCAGAAGAGAAGAGGCTGTTACTGCAGCAAATGTGGGACAAACTACCTTCTTAAAGAGGAATTCCACCATTTTTTTTAAGTTTCTGCATAATCAAATTGTTAAAATTGTTTAGTGGTTTGATGTGAAATGTGCTATTGGAATAAATGCTATATTTCTCTGTAATGGTAATCCAGGTGGATTTACTCCCAGTTTCTGCATGTTAATGTATCGGCACAGGTATTGGCATTGGCAGATATGTACGTAAAAAAAAACAGATATCAGCATTGGCCCACAATGTGCATATAGGTGCATCCATACCTATTCATCAACATTGAATATAAACACTTTGAAAACGTGTCACTGCACTGTTGAAAAAAAAAAGGTTAACCTGAAGTACTAGAAGTTCGAAAGTGCACTCAAGCTGAATTGTTTTGGATAGTAAATAAAATAGCTATGTTTGTGTGAACCCTTGTTCCTGTCACCACCATTGTAAAGAAATCAGTTGATAAGTTTCCCTACAAATTACTGTTTCACATCAAAATGACTCTAAATGACTATTTACATTTTAGTGATTGAATAATGCAGAAATTTTGAAAAACTGGACAAATTCCCCTTTAATAACCTTCAATTCAGAGGAAATGCTGGATGAGCAGACTTTTAGACATAGATGTGGTTAAAATTGGTCTTATTTTTATTATTTTGATCAAAATTATTTGCATTTATTGGACTACGTAAATGCCTTGATTGATCCAAAACTCTATAAGATCTGTAATTGGTCAGGATGCACTATAAGCAAATTCTGTGAAACGATGAACAAATAACAAATGCCAAAAAAACAAAAAAACCTTACTTGCGTCACTCTGATTGTTAGTCTGTCTGACTCTGGCAGCCTTAGCTGTCTCAGTCAAAAATGACTGATAATGCTCCTTTTGTGGTGTTTATGTAGCCAGAATCTGAAACATGAACATACTGAATGTTATTAATTGGGATTAGTTGCTCAAATATCACAACTATTTGCACACTCTGTTATCAGTATTTGTGGACCACACTATGAAGTAAGATCAATGAAAAATGTGTTTTGTATTTGGACTAATCAGTATGTTTTTTTCTAAGCTTCTCAGTTTGATCTTTGTTTTGTATGAACAGGTGGGTCCAGAGGATAAAGTGCGGAAAGCAAAAGAAAAGCTTGAAAAGTCTGACGATGCAGCTGTAAGGCAGGTCTTTATGATGGACAGGATCATGAATCCCCAAGCTGGGCCTTTGCAAGGTGTAAAGTATACAAGCTGGTCACCCCTTGGCTGTGATGTGAACGGCCGCTGCCTTCTGGCCTGCCTGACGCTGGACTGTCGCCTCACCATTCACAGCAGCCACAAACGTTTACAGTGGACACAGCTCCTGGACCTCACTGAGCTATATGGGGAGATGCTAAAGTCCAGGAACTACTCTGTGCAGAATGAAGATGTTCCTCAGCCCTCTCTGGACGACCCTGGTGAGCTGCAGAGGAGGTACCGCATGCAGACACCTGTGCGCATGGAGTGGTCCAGTTTGTGCAACACGCAGCAGGTTCAGAGCAATAATGAATGTAAAGACATTGGAACAGTTCTTCTGGCAGTGCTGATGGAGAACGGGGACCTGGTAGTATGGCAGTTTCGCCTGCCCATGCAGGGGAAGGGTTCCGTCGTTTCCTGCAACACAATCAAATCTGGCGTGTCCTCGCCGAGTGTTCTGGCTTGGTGGGAGTACGAGCACGGGGGCCGCAAGATGAGCGGCCTAATCGTGGGCAGCTCCATAGGCCCGGTGAAAATCCTGCCTGTCAACCTGAAGGCCGTGAAAGGCTACTTTACCCTAAGGCAGCCTGTGGTGCTGTGGCAGGAGACGGACCAGATCCCTGTCCACAACATCAAGTGCATTTCACTCTACCATCCGCACCAGAAGTGTAACTGCAGTCTGGTGGTGGCAGCACGAGGCTCTTATGTGTTCTGGTGTCTTCTGCTCATCTCCAAAGCTGGTCTGAACGTTCACAATTCACACGTGACTGGACTCCACTCCATGCCCATCATGTCTATGAGCACTAGCCGGAATGGGGGTTCCATCTTCACCTGCTCCATGGATGGGACGGTAAAGAAGCTTACTCCGGTCTTCACCGATGTGGCCGTTGTGTTCAAGCAGCAGGAGATAGCCCTGCCTGAAGGAGTGGCGGGCCGGCGGATCCACGGCATCTCTGTCAGCCCTAATGGAGCCTACCTGGCACTGGCCTCCACTGAGGGCTTGACTAACGGCTTGCACCCGGTCTCTCGAAGCTACCAGGTATGGAGACACTGATAATTAACATCTTGTTGTTGATGACAACAATAACTGATAATTGTACTGCGTTTTAAAACAAGTTCACACTATGATCAATATATGAGGTGCGGTGAGCAAAAGACAGGTTAACATTCATAGACCTTCCAGTGGGTCCATGAAATAAATCAGGCATGTTTATGTTTATATACTTGGATTTTCTTATCTAGAGTAATTAAACTGTAAACGTTTAACAAGTAATACCAGATAACTACCATAGTACAGCTGCGACACGTCAGATAGCAAACTAGCCAGCCAGGTTAACCATAAACTTGGGATGTGAGTGTCTGCGGTCTTATCTACTTTTGTCAGTGATTTTCCATCACAGATATTTCATCTACTTTGAGCCCTCTGAGTCTTCCAGAGACGTTTCCGAAGTTGCCTGTGTTTTTCTGTATGTGCAGCGTGTTTATGAAGTGTAGCGTTGGTGTCGTCATTTTGATGAAAGTGCTTCCTGAGTTTGCAGAGTGTCTACGAATTTGCAGGGTGGTTGTAAAATGCAGCGCCCATGTTGTCATTTTGATGATAGTGTTTTCTGCGTTTTGCAGCTTGTTTTAATTTGCAGTTTGTTGGGTCTTCTTTTTAAATTTAAGAACAGTGCATCTATAAATGTTAACTATTAAGCTGTCTTTTCCAACAAATGATTAATGCCCAGGTGGGGCACAGCATGATCAAGCAAAAAGGGGGTGTCACATCGGTTGTTGGCTATAATTCCAGTATTTTTACCTTAATCTGCAAATAATATCATTTCTGTATCGTGCACCCCTGCTACCAGGTGCAGTTTATCACGCTGAAGACTCCGGATGAGGCTGCAGCTGAGCTCCTGGAGTCACAGCAGCAGAGCCTCTACAGGCAGACAGACCTGCTGGACCTGGTTCGGTGGCGGGTGCTGAAAGACAAACGCATCCCGCCCTTCCTCCAGGATGAAATAGACGACAAAGTGCACACCTCAGGCTGCACCTACCTGTGGCGCTTCAAGCTCTTTCTTCTCCGCATCCTCTACCAGTCCATGCAGAAGGCACCAGTGGAGGCACGTTGGAAACCCTCGCACCAGGACAGTAAGGTTTTTCTGGGTGATGAGGAGGTGGGTGGAGACGAGGGCGAGCAGGGGGAAGGGAGCCAGGTAGCCGAGGCCTCCGGCCTGGAGGAGTCCAAACAGAAGGAAGCTGAGGGAGAGTTCAGCGAAGAGCAGATAAATGAGATCACGGCATGGATCGAAGAGGTAGAGTCCCACCTAACACGTGAGCACATGAAGAGAGTGCTGGGAGAGGTATACCTCCACACGCTTATTACTGAGAATACCTGCATCCCCACCAAAGGGCTCTGTGACTTCCTCTCAAATGACCCCACCAATGAAGACAGAGCAGCCAAGGTGAGAGTCCTCATATGACAAATGTCACTGCAACAAATATTGCATCCTATAGCAAATATCGTACTTCTGTTGAGGGCTGTTGCCATCAATTAAAAAAATTATAATTTACAGATGATTTTGATCATTTATATTTGTATTTCATGTTTTAAAAGGACTATAAAATGTGACAGTTTTGCTCATATTTGTGTGTGTACACACATACACCTAAATTGTATCTACACTCTTTGTCCATTTTATTAGCTGTATTTACTATATATGAGCACTTTGTAGTTCTGCAATTACGAACTGTAGTCCATCTGTTTCTCTGCATACTTTGTTAGCCTCTTTTCACCTTGTTCATCAATGGTCTGCTCTGTGGTGGTCCTGTGGGGGCCTGTGGGGAAGAACAGGATAAAAGGGGCTAACAAAGTATTCAGAGAAACAGATGGACTACAGTCTGTATCTGTAGAACTACAAAGTGCTCCGGTATGGTAAGTGACATAAAAAAAAGGGACAAAGAGGGTAAATACAAGAAGGTGTACTGTTTTATATATAGTGTATATATATTACACTTTACTAGTATAAAACTAGTGCCTTATTGTGTCGCCAGTGAAGTGTTGTTAAGGACATTAGAGAGGAGGCAGAGATAGCTTGGCTTTTTTGCGAACTATTCTAGCTGATGTTGGCCTGGTCCAGAAACAATATGTTCCTCTGACAAACTAACAAGTTGGCACATCATCCCCTGAAGAAAAATGACCTTGTGTACAGGGCATAGAGTGTAGAGTGCTCATTGTCATCCAACGTGGTAGATGTAATGATTTCCCCTTTTCCCCTTTCCGATGCCGATACTGCATACCAGTACCAACACGAACTCTGTCTAACCCCCATGTGTCAAACACAAGGCCCGCAGGCCAAGTCAGGCCTGTGGCACAATCCTATTTGGCCCGCAAAAATATTTTAATTTTCTATCGATATAAGCCCATTTCACCATGAACTGCGCTACAGTTCCCAGCATGCACTGCAACATAATGTGCTCCCACCCCCTCCCCAACAACGATCTATGGGACTGCACCACAAAAACAAAAAACAAAGATGCCAGGTGTCTAGTTCAAGCAAATTAGCAGTTTTAGAAAACCTACTGTACACTGGGGACATTTAAAGAGTAATCTGAGCACTGCAGCTAATTTAGTCTACTGTTTTATATAAACAATTCGTTTTTTATTTAAAATTATTTTTCAGTTCATTGCCTGTTTTTTGCCGTTGTAGTTTTGGCATATTTTGAACAAACAATGGCCAGTTAGGGTCATGGCAAAATGTTAAGTAAAAATAAAATAAAAACACAGCTGGCCAACGGATTTGTTGAGATTTCAGTGGTTGAGTTTTACACTCCTGATCTAACCTAACTAGCTTATGAGCCCTGATAACCATTATTATTAAATATTTTATGTCTTTGTCTTGTGTGATAATAAAAAAATGTGTGTATATATGTATGTATGTGTGTGTGTGTGTGTATATATCTATCTATCTGTCTATATATATATATATATATATATATATATATATATATATATATATATATATATATAGTGTGTGTGTGTATATGTATGGATGTGTATATACATATATGTGTATGTGGTGTAGTAAAAACTGTTGGCACACTAATCCAAATGTTTTTATATGTCAGGTTTAAATCAGAGATGTAAGTTAAACACTACTTCTGTGAAGCCACCATCCAACACACCTGACTTAAAATATCATTAACATTCCGGAAACTTAAATACTGATATGAATTAATATTGTCTCTTGGTAATAAAATGTCTTTAAGAAAGACTGCAGATACACTGAAAAATCCAAAATCAACAGAAGGCTCCACAAACCTAGTTGAGCATCAGGTGTGCAGTCTCATCCACTCCATGCTTAGACTTCAAGCTATTATCCAAAAGAAGGAATATGCAACAAAATACTAACCTACATAAAATACTACATACTAATCTACATAAAGGAAAGAGGCACTAAGATTTATCCCACTAATGTCTGAGTATTTTTATTTGCCTTACTTTTCAGTTAATTACTGTTATCATTGCTGGTTGTTGTAACTTCTCTGACTGATGCAAATATAGAAATTACAATTTTACTATAATATATTTATTTATTTATTATAATATACTATATATATTAATATATATAATATTAATTTAGCTTGGAAAGTCATAAATAAACAAGACACAAATTGCATTCAGAGAGTGTCCCAAGACTCCCATTGAGCATAAACATATTGTTGATTCTAAACAATGTTATCATTAGTCATGACTTTGTTTGTAGTCAGATATGCTCCCTGTGGTGTGTTATATGTAAAGATTGTTGAATGCTGCTTATGAATATAGGAACATTGTTCCTTTGGATTGCGTTGTTCCAGCCCTTTTACATCTACAACTGAGTGTCAAATCTATGTAGAAATCTTAACTTAAATAACATACAGATTTATAACTTACTCTGACACTAACATGCCTATCACAAACTCAAACTTTTTTTGAATGCAAATGTCATAGTGTTAAGACAGTGTAAGTTATAACGCATAATGTTCGTATTTATGTCATTAACTTCATATTTTATGAATTCTGTTATTATAGGAAGCATAATCCTTCCACATATTAGTATAAAGGTTAATCTCAAATATAGCTGCAGCATTAGATTTGTACTGTAAAGCTTTGCAGTTATGAGGAAAAAGGGCAGGAAGACTGTAAACAGAGTCAGGCTAGAACCTATTATAGTAATACGTCGGCTTTATTTAAGGACGGTGATGCGTTTCAACTGTGTTTGCACAAAAAGTAATAATCTAATGCATAGAAACTCTGGGGAAATAAAGAAGCACAACAGAAAAATGTGTGCTAATGGAGGAAGCAGCTCACACGCCCAATCCCAGCATATCTACAGTGATGGAATAGGAAATAAATAGATAACCAGTATATCTAGGCTGCTTGGAAATGTGTCTTTTAGTAGCTAGCAAACAGTATGTGGCTTATGCTCAGTCTGTTATGTCCTGCCCCCTCCACAGGTCCTGATTGGTCACATAATGAAGAAGATGAACAAGCAGACGTTTCCAGAGCACTGCAGCTTGTGTAAAGAGATCTTGCCCTTTACTGACCGCAAGCAGGCTGTGTGCAGTAATGGACATATGTGGCTCAGGTAGGACTGATTCCAATATGCTGCTGGACTGTTGTTTCTGCATAGCCTTATCATATACAGTTCATACTCCACACTCCATATTACTGCATACATCACACAACATATGATTATATTCAGCCGCAGAGTGATACGCTTTCTGATACAGTCACATGCAGAAGTTTGAAGACCCCTTGTCAAATTACATTTTGTTGATTTTCTAAGAGAAAACAAGTTAACACGTCCTCTACAGAATACACACTTAAAATATGACAGTTTTTATGTATACCGACCAGCCACATCATTAAGTACACCTCCTTGTATCTACACTTATTGTCAATTCAATCAGCTTTACTTACCATTATAGGTGCTTTTTTACAGTTCTACAATTACAGACTGTAGTCCATCTGCTTCTCTGCATACTTTAACCCCCTTTTACCCTGTTTTTCAATGGTCAGGACCCTCACAGAGCAGGTATTATTTGGGTGATGGATAATTCTCAGCACTGCAGTGACACGGACGTGGACACCCAAGCTTTTGCGTATGGCTATATATTAATGAGATATGGTTAAAGACTGGCCTACACTATTTTGACAAAAATATTTTGTTAGAACATGTGAATGCGTTTTATACTTTGTTATCTATTTAAATTAGCTAACTACATTGACCTTATATTCTACCTTCAGATAAATGAAACTGTGCATGAGCAGAGATGCTCATTAGCATATTTAAAATATACAGGTGAGGAGTTTTACTCAGTCACGTGTGTGACTTTGTTCTCCCCAAAACAATTTATAAACAGTATATTTTTTGTTTTAATGGTAAAGATATGCCATGGAAAAAGCAGTCTTACATTCAAGAAATATATTTTCACTTAAACGTATACTGACGTTTACATATTGCAAACTCCGATTGGTACTTTGGCAGTTCTGATGTCTGCTGCACCAAATTTAGTCCCCAACTCATATCAATCCAAAGAAAACAGCAGTAAAAATAGTCAAAAATCGCTCAACAGAAAAGACCAACAGCATTAGTTTTCTGTCAGTTCATTGTAAAAACATCACAGAAACTATAGTAACTAAGAAAATCATGAAAATGAATAGACAGGGGCTTTAAGGATGCAACGATATGGAAATTGTGGGCTGATGCCGATATCTTAAACACCATGATACACCATATATACACACACACACATCATAATACTGTTTATGTTTCGACTTGTACATACTTGATGCTGATGTTGACGTATACATGTTTGTAAAATGAAGTAATTAGGACAATCTACCAACATTAGCTTTACATGGAAATGTCACATTTATTTGTAGTGGGTTACAAATGCAGTATAATGAATAAACTGCAGGCATTTTAGCACACTAATCTAGCATCACCTTAACATTCTGCTCTTCCAGAATACAAATAATTTGTCACCAAATATTGGTCAAATCTGTCTGTCCAATGCCACTATTTATTTATTTTATTTTTTTTAATCTGCTGATACTGTTACGATGCTTGTTATCATTGTATGTATTGATTTTGTATTTGTATACACATATACATAACATACTGTAGCAAATTTTACCATTTATAATATGTTCATATCCCATATCCCACTGTTATGTTCATATCCTATATCCCAGTTAATCGTCCCTTCAGAACATGTTGAATGAGGCCATGTTTAAAAGATTTAGTTACTTCATTTATTATAGTATATTACTATTTGAAGAGTTTTTGAAAGTTTGAAATAATTAAGCTGTTAATTAAACTCTAACAATAACGTATACTTTCATTCGAGTTAACATTGATACTATAGCAAAAAAAAAAGCCATTTTCATACTGAACACTGTAATACTACATTTGGTATCAAACTTAAGAGTGCCCATTTCCATATTATGGCCTCACTGAATACTGTGATTAATAAATGATAGATTATGTGACTCTCATTTGCATGAAGCATTACATACTAACACTAACATCACTCAGGATCACAGTCCTGTTATAACAGTATAACAGTTATAATTATTTAAGAAAGAATTGCATATTTCTGCCTTAGTGTGCAATACAGCATTGGATAACAGACAAATGATAACGTTCCAATGGCAACAAAAAGGGAATTAAATGGAGTTTACTGCCCCTAATGGTTAACACATGGAAGTGCTGGCTGCAGTGCTGTTGGTCCAGCCATTGTAATACAAGGCTTGACCATTTTCTCAGCCTCCTGCTTCTCTCTCTCTCTCTCTCTCTCTCTCTCTCTCTCTCTCTCTCAGGTGTGTGCGGTCCTATCAGGTCTGTCAGAATGTGACTTATCGACGCTGTCTGCTACAGGACAGCATAGCTTCAGTGCCACAGCCTGAGGGTAAGCCCTACTGCTCTATCCACCCATACTCAGTGGCCATTTCTACCACAACCTGTTATACAGCACACACACACTAACAATACCTGTAATAACGCACTGCACCAGAAAAAATTCTCATGCTGCTTCACCTGTGTAGCATCTTAAAAACACCAGGATACACACACACACACACACACACACACACACTCACCCTAATACTGTTTCTAATATGTGACACATCAGCATTAAAGGGGAATTCTTTCATTATTAAATTGTTAGGATGTAAACAAAGCCATTCAGAGTGATTTGATGTTAAATGCACCATTTTTGAGAAATAGGAGTGATAGGAGCCAGACACGAAAGAGTAAAAGCTCCCTCATAGAAAGTTATTACTTAGAATGGTTACAGGTACACTTCCTGATGTCTGAGACATTGTTTTAGGTTTTGTTTTAAGGTTTGAGATAAGGTTTTGCTCCAAAACTTATTTTTTAAACTCATTCATGGGGGTGGGGTACATGCAGGGCGTTGTAAAGCAAGCTGGTAAAATTATTTTTTACTACTTTGTTTACTACTTTGAAAAATAATACACTGAAGAATGTCTTGTGTGACCAAAACATTTGCACTGCTAAAAATCTCACTTAAACTAGAGTTTGCTCTGGATTATATTTGCATTGTAAACATCATATTCTCATCATATTCTACTGCTATTTTAAAGAATTTGGAGTTGCCAAGTTTCTCTAGTGCACCTTTTCAAAAATTAAACCACTCTGAGTGACAGTTTACATCTCAATGATTGAATTAAGCAGAAATTTTGAAACACCAGTGGAATTTCCCTTTAAAACACTTACTTGCTTACTACCTTGTAACGGACACCTATACTCCCTGTTACAGCAGGCATCTTCAGCATTTGGAGTCTCATGCATGAATATAACCTTGCAGCCTCTAATAGCTCTAACACAGATTCTCATTCATTCAACACATTTGCCCTGTGGCTAATACTTCACACTAACACATGTACCCTGCCTCTAATACGTCATGCTAGCACATTCAGTTTGCCTTTAAATTCTTACACCAATCTTACACATCTACCCTGCATCTAAAATCTCACACCAGGGCACTTACCCTGTGTATTATATTACATCACAGAACATAAACGCACGCACAACACACAAACTGACCTCAGCTCTCATTAAATGTCAGTTAAATGTCTGAAGTCAGTGTGTGTGTTGTTGTGTGAGCGCTCATGATAGCACATGAATGCGCACACAACACACAAACTGACATCAGCTCTCATTAAACATGTATTACCTAACGAAACCCCAACTCTCCGCCTGCATTGTGACAGGACGGGGGCTGACAAGGTGAGCCCTACCAGTGAAACACAATCACGGAAAACACCAATTTGATTGCGGGGTTGTATTTGCTGCGGATGGTTCTTGCGTCACACTGAATGCCTCTCTTAGGTTTCCTCTCTCTCTGCTCCCCTTTATAGATCCAGACTGGGTAAAGAAGATCTTACAAGGACCGTGTACGTTTTGTGACTCTCCGCTTCTCTGACACACCTAAGGTCACCACCACACTGCCCAAGGCTGCTGACATGCACCGCATCCCTAATGGATGCTACATAAACTAAGGAGGACTGTTTCTTCTTTTTTTTTATTTTTATACCAGATAAGCCAGTATAATGAACGTAATCTGAAATTACCCCTAACCATGTAACTATTATGTGTTTGATTTCCTGCTGTTACCCCATGGCTATTCCAGTACTTCTGTTTTTCTTTATGTAGCAAAGAGGTCAGCAGTGTGCAGAAGTGGGATGACTGCTTTCCTCCAGCCATAGATACCTTTTGCTATTCCTATCTGAAACGCATTTTCTGTTGTCCCAGAGATTGATCTTATGCTGCTATGACACACTACTTTTTTGCCATAGACACGCATGCTTCCTTGGAGCCTCGTTGTGTTGTTTCCGATTCTTAATTGGCTTTGGAAACATTTCCGTGAGCCGCAGCCTTTCCTCTTCAGATGGGAACTTTATATAGGCGGGATGAGGAGGGAGAAAAAGATGAGAGAGAAAAAAGCATGCACAAGAGAGAGATGCAGCGAGAGACGGAGGTAAAAGTGTGCTTTAAGACTGATTCGGTTCTTCCCAAGGGGCAGGCCTCTAATGAGATACCAGAGTAATGAGGTGCAGATTCCAGCCACAGATGTGATTCTCATTTTAATTAAGAGGGGGGCGGTTAGAGTGCATATTGTTAAATATAGTTAACCCTCTATTTGAGGAACCGTGGGGAATATATACACTGGCCATGGACTTCGACCCTACAACCCCCTGCCCTATTCCCTCTACTCCTACACAGGGGTCAGTGGCACGAGATGAAAGATGGATACAAGGCCTGTTAGAGCCGGGCGTTCAGCTCCGTCATGTTCACTCTCATCCTCTGCTGATCCCACAGCCTACCCTGCTTCCTCTCTGTGGTCACTGGAGACGATCACTCGCCCACAGGGCTGGACGTGAGTGGCAGCTAAGGTCTCTGATGATTAGGCAGGATGAAGATGGCTGTGTGATTGCAAATAATCCAGCCCCCTAGTTCTCATTCAGTTAGCACTAGCTACTTTCACAGAATGTAGTAAAAGTAGCTAGCTGCTGTTTGTGTTTCTTGTTGCTATTGCTTTATTATTTTTTGTCCATATTGATGCACAAACCAAGCACTCGCTGCAGCCAAAGGCATCAAATATGTGTTGTTTAAAAATGTCCACCAACCAGGGGTGCAGTGAAATAGGAATTGTGTGCTGATGCCAATATCTGATATTTTTCTTGCACACATCAGCTGATATTGATAGGTAAACATAAACAGATTACATCTACCTGGGTTAGCTTTACTTCTCAGACAAGGGTTTAGCCTAGTCCTGGGCTACAAGGCATTCTGAATGGAGATTCTCCATTAAAAGGAAAGTATCGACCAAGACTAGGCTTAATCTATGTCCAAACAAACCGACCCTAGTTTCTTACGAATGCAGTACAGTGAATAAATGAATAAAACACAGACGTTGTAGCCCAGTTGACGCTTAAACGTTGTGTTTAGGCCTGTCATGATCATGAAATTTTATGTGATGATTAATGGCCATAGCAGTAACTGACAATATTATTATTATTAACAATATATGTCTTTTTTGTGCATTGAGGCAATTATTAAAGTACTATTGTAGTAGCTGATTAGCTGTCTTGTTCCCTAGCTGTCGAAACTTAATAGCGCCAAACTGATGACAGAAAAAGATCGAGCTGAAATAAGCAAACATTACTCAGTGCTGCCCTCTAAAGATTTTACAGCAACAAAAGTTAGAGATTGTGGTGTTTTCATAAGACCCCTAACATGTCTTACTAAATGTTTTCTGCTTTTTTTATTTACAGGTATTTGCCTGAACCCAACTAATAAACATACCCAGTTCACATTTGTTGTTGCAAAAAAGTAATCGCTGTGGTCAGCAACAAAATTGTGATCAGCTCAAATAATGATGTAATAATTGTGACAGGACTATCTAGAGTATAATAAATACCTAATCGGATAAAATCTAAACATCTGTCCGATGCTGTTAATTATTTAAAGCAGATATCTGCTTATGCCGATATGATTCCAATATTGCTGTGCAACCCCAAATAAAATGCAGACATTTTATTGTAGTAGCCCAGCGTCACCAGCATTTGTACCATCTTAAAACTGTGAATGGATTTGAAAGGAACCTGTTTTTTTTGTTTCTGAATGTGACTATAGGAAGAAGCTGTATAAACGTTCAACATACATACAGTACACACTAATCATCATGCAGAGACTAAATGTCACAATCTGTAACGCTGAACATAATATTTTTTTTCCTTCCTGCAATTTGTGCTGTTTGTCAAATGGAACTTGGCCTTTTGGTGTGAGTGTGTGCTGTGCTGATAGGTGGAGACTGATTCTGTTAGCTGTGTTTTGGCAGAACCTCCTACTTCTTTAATATAACGATCTGTCAGAAAGCATTTCTACAATAATTACAGCCCCCCCTCCTTCTTCCTCTTTGTGTGCACTCTCTCAGCACTTCAAAAGGAGGTTTCTTTTTCCTTCCCATACAATATTCATAACCTTTGTGTCCGTGGCTGAACTGCTTTAAACAGTCATCCGGATTATCTTCCTTACTTTTATTTAAGGTAATACCGCATCGCATCTGAACATATTTTAATATATATATCTCCTCTCATAAGAAGATCTTATACACCCAATTTGTTGAGCCAAAACATTATGCTAAGTCTGAATCCTTTCATCTTCCCCAGTGTTTTGTTCATGCTTATTTCTGCATGAACTTTGCAGCACAAAGCTCAGTTTTATTCATTGGCTGCCACTGTTTATAAAGTTATATAGGGGAGCTGCTGTGCACTCCAGGTACTGGGGCCATTCCTTTATATTCTGCTGCTTTTATTCTGTATTTGGTCCTGTCACCACACGAGATGGGCCAAAATAAATCAAGATCTATATAGATACAGACTTATATATCTATATCTGTGGAATGATCCCTTTTTTCTGCCAAGAGAAAACTGTTCATATAATACTGTATCATGTAAATAAAACTTATGTTTTGTAAAGTAAATTGTGATTATTTTATTGTTGACTGACAGGTTTGTTTCATATTAAACACTAGTACACTAGTACTAGTTTCTCATTAAACCTTATAATGGTGTGATTATTTACAGTAGCCTACTACTGATTTATACACTCTTAAAAATCACGGTGCCAAAAATGGTTCTTTAGAGCGGTGGTTCTCAATCCTGGTCCTGGAGTACTACTGCCTTGCAGTGCCCTGCTCTAACATGCCCAGCTGACCTTAACAAGGGCATGATAAGGAGTTCATTGGTTGCATCAGGGTGTGTTGGGAGCAGGGAGATTCTAAAACGACAGGTTTTGGACAGTGGTTCTTCAGGACCAAGATTGAGAACTGCTTTAGAGCAGTGCCACAGAACAGATGTCTTAAAATACAGACCTTGAATTCCAGTTTCTGGTCCTGGATTTTGTAATCACTGGTCAGTATGGCACTAGATGGCCAATCGGTTACATCGACAGTTCAATTAAATACTATTTGTTGCTAAATTCAGGACTGTAAACTGAACTGAAGGTCCACATTTGCATGCTACTGCCATAGAAGAACCACACTGGTTCCATAAAGATTTTCATGGATGGTTCTTTAAAGAATAATCTCTGTAAATGAAATAATGTGAAGGTTCTAGGAAAGTAACAGTACAACGTATCGTATCAAACGGTCACATCGTACCGTTGTATTGTGACTAACATTATTTTGTGACCAGTTTGTTAGCTTGGGACAAACATATTAGCTTGTAGATAGTGTTAGATGGGCACAACTTTTGTTTCAAGTGTTTATATGTTTATAATATTGAATGCTCTACTAAACTAAAAATAGGAATAATAACGTATTAACAACCATTTATAACCAATCCTTATTTTTGTTGTATGAAAAATGTATTACATTGCATTGCCTTGCATTGAATTCTGAATTTTGTTAACCATTCCACCCCAAAAGGATCTATACCAAAGAAATGTTTTTCCTGGAACCTTACACCCATGCCGAGAACCAATAATAGCTGACCTTATTAAAAAGTGTAGTTCCATATAAGATCATAATTTTAAAGTTACAGAAAAACTATCCTATGTTAATGTTATGTGAGTTTGCAAGCAAATATGCAGAACATATTTCATTTTGCCAAAAAAAACTGGGCTACTTAATGAAGAAACCCCCATTATTCCAGCAGACGGGAAAAAAGATGGAGCTGACATCAATAAAACAGTGTTTGGGAGCGGTTTTGTGGGGGAAGACTTTCTGATGTGGCTTGACTCCACAGCGTATGCACCCAGCATGAATACATTTCCTCTGTAGTCTTAAAGTATTCAGTGGAGAAGCGTACCCTCAAACTTGTCATCAGTAATTAAGTCTGTCTGTGGGTTGCCTTCAGGCCCAGGTTTTTACCATGGATTCTCAAATCAGGCTGTTAACATGGTCCTTTCACGGCTACACGGTCCTTCTGGGATGCTGCCAGTGACCCGTGACTGGCCAGTATGTGTGTGAGTGTATGGGGGCGGGGGTGGGATGTCAATAGGCGGCCACACTGCTTGTTCGCCAGTGTTGAGCTGCTCAAGTGGAACTAATGTGGACCTTCACAAAGGGCATGGGCAGGCCTGTTCTGCTGCTATATTAATTAAACTTCTACTCAACACTAGACCCACAGCCAGTACGAATTATCAGGAGTATCAGGAGAGAGAGAGAGGGAGATCGTGTATATCGGTACCAGGAGAGAGAGACAGAGAGAGCGTGTATATGCGGTATATATTACGTACATATGTAAAATGTGATGGCTGACTTCTCAACAGATTTGCTAATGTGGACCTTCAACTTCCTTAAAATAAAATGGAAATGAGCTGAAACATCAGTGTTCGAAATCCAGGGAAACTAATTTGTTAGGCATAGATTCATTTGATAGGTTTAATATGCCAGTCTTGACAAATCTAACGCGACAAATTTGCTGAATGAACATCTGAACCAATCCAACCATCAATCCATCAACTTAAACTCACAATAGGGCCCAAGGTTTTGTTTAGCAAGTCTATTAAAAGCAAATGTTCCATGTATCATGAAATATTAACAAGGGAATGCCAATCAACCATAG